CCGTCCTCGCGTCCTCTCCGCAGCGAGGTGCAGTACGTGGTGCTCCAGAATGTGGCCACCATGTCCATCAAGCGCCGGGTGAGCTGACAGCCGGCGCCAGGGGCTGGCTGGGGCAGGGGGCGCTGGAGAGGGCGCTTGGCGGGGGCTGCCTCGCTGTGCAGGCGCGATGGGGAGACCCCGCAGCCGGCTGCGGCAGGGACCCGGTGGAGGAAGCCTGGGGACTGGGACGCACCGGGATCGGCGGTGGTGCAGCGGGCTCTCTGCGCAGGGCATGTTCGAGCCTTACCTGAAGAGCTTCTACATCAGGTCCACCGACCCCACCCAGATCAAGATCCTCAAGGTGAGTGCGCAGGGCTGCGCCTCTGCCCTCAGCCCACCAGCCGCCACCGTGGGCCGCCCGGGCCCAGCTCTGGGGCCAGGCAGTGGCAGGAGCCTGGGCCGCTCTGGGCAGGTTCCTGGGAGCTCCCCGTGAGTCCCCCTCGGTGACTTACACCTGCACACTCGGACGCGCCCCCAAGCGTGAAATCCAGCAGTCCCTCTGCAGGCTCCTGTCCCCCAGCACACCCAGAGAGGCCCCAGTGTCAGCTACGCCTGGGGCTCGTGGGGCAGGTGCGCCCTCCTTGCCTGGGGAGCTCGCTGCCCACTGGGCAGGAAACGGAGCAGTGCGTGGGGTCCGCCAGCCGCAGGCGGGAGCATGGGTGGGGCCTGAGCTGCACTGTACCCTGGGGTGCCCTGCCCACGCCCCGCTGCTTGGGCTGGAAGGAGCTGGAGGGGTCACGCTGGCGAGCCGAGCCCTGGGCGGGGGCAGCCCCGCGGGCCCAGCGTCGGCAGCGCTATCTGGCGCCTGCAGCCCAGCACTGGGGGCGCCTCCTGTCACCCCCTAGGTGCAGTGACTGCCGACGAGGCACCCACGCGTCCTGCCCGTGTGTAACCCGAGTGTCGGTGCACGGAGGGCGCCTGCCACGCAGTGGCCGGCCCCGGGCGGCCCGTGGGCGGCAGAGCGC